TGTACACACATCCCACTATATAAACAAGTCTTTTTTCTTGTAAACTTTCGATGTGTGATTACTTACCATATATAAGACACTTAAAATTGAGTTTATCAACTTATGGACCTATATTGGAGACTTTTTCCAATTCATCCAAATTAATTACAATGTCCCATATAATTAAATATCACATTTAATTATTTAACACTTTATCAATTAATTTCAACAGTTAATTGATAAAGATGGTCTCTTTTTTGTCTCTAATTTCTAATTTTTCTTTTCTATTTATTTTATTTTCCATTTTTATTCAAACCCAGGGCATTTTGTAGCGGAGAAAAATGACGGTTTTGTCACGTAGGGATTGGCTTACACAGATTTTAGTGGGTTGGGGGATCTATTGTAACACTTGTCAGAGAATGGGGACTTTGGTGGAATTTAGCCAATACATCCCCATTATACATTATACTAAGCATATAATTCAATAGTAAGCTTGGACATTTTTAATCGAAAATCGAATGGGAGGTTCCAATCCGGTTTCAACAAAATAAATTAGGAATTGAAATCGATAACCATTGGTACCCAAATGGAACAAGAACAGTTGGTACCCGAATGTAGTTGATTTTTTATTTTTTTTCCAATTTATATGTTGGATATAAAAAATATAAATCTAAGAACTCTAGACTCTAACCCTAAGAAATCATGACTGATTCCTTCTTTTTTACCTCTTACCTCATATCAGATTATTACATTTCAGATGTTAATATATGTTAATCTTTACAATTTGGACTTTCTATGAATCAAAAAGTTCAAGTTAGGGTTGTGGTGTAAGTTGATGAATCAAAGCGCTTATTCTTTGCAATTCGAGCCGTTTATTTTATTGCATTGTTTACAAATTTAAGTGATCTTTTTGTATAACGAGTGACAATTGAATTTGATATATTCATTGTTTGAACTGTGGTGTACATTTTTTGTTATCTCGAGTGTGTAGTTCTCTTTTAAAATATATTTTTTCCTTTTTTTTTTACTTAAATATAGCGAGTTCAATACGTGGACTGCAATTTCTTGATATTACATATTTATGTATTTAATTAGTATTTTTTATGTAAGTTACATTTAAGAGTAGGAGAATTTAAGCATTGTCCTAATTAAATTATTGGCTCTACTATCTAGCATGTCTCATTCAGGGATTGAACAAAATTTATAAAGAAAGTTCATTTCTTCTTGAGCTGTAATTTAATTTTTTATTTTTTTAGTCGACATTATTTTGAGTCATGTAGTTACATTTCTTAACTTCTTGAAGATTTCTCAGCTAGATTTTCTCCTTTGCATAACTATTGTCAAGTATTAAGTACCAAAAGGCCTATATGAAAATATTTATTAAGCATGTGTCTAGGAATCATTTTGAAGCAAATTTTTAGCTAAAATAAAGACGTTATACCGTGCTTTGTTAGAGAGGAGAGTTATTTTTTACTAAATTAAGTGAAATTGCCAATGTGCTCTCCACATGAAATTCATTATCCTTTAAAACATGGCAATTTCGGTAATTTACAGTATGTGCAATTAATAATTACTACAAAAGTGAACCTCGCGTACCTGTCAAATGGTTAAAAAATGTATTGAAATCTAGCCAGAATGGATCCCAATCACACGATAAATGTATAAAAATAAATGTCATGAGTAGAATTGAATTGAGTTTTGGTTTCAACAATTGCAAGGACGTGGATGATTTCGAGTATTGAAGTCGAATAGTATACGCACTGCTATTCAATAACGTTACTACATCTTTTATGTGATTATTAAGGTAATTACAATTCTTCTTAATGCAACACGAGCTCACCCACCCCAGCATATCTCCTAACCGAGGAAATAGTGCTCAATGGCCAGGTGACCCAACCCATTTTTCAAAATGGCATTTGACCAATTTTAAATAAAAAGAGAGAAGGGTAAAACATCGCCAACCCGTTTTAAATGGCATTTGACAGACGAAACAGACAACTTACTATTCATCTACTACACTTGGCAATGTTACTATTTGTTTGAAAATTTAATATTTCATTATATTGTAAAATGGGAATGTAGAAATTTGATTTTTTATATGAAATATCAATAAATCTTGTAATTTTTGAGTTTAATTCAAGTATTGAATTTTATTTTATGGTTAAAATAGAAGAAAAATCGAATTTACTATTGATTTTGGCTATAGAGAGGTTTTTGTGTGGCAGAGCTAGTTAGAATCGTCATTTCTGATGAGCTCCACCCATTATTACGCATTCGGACCTCGAAGTCCCGGTCCCGGTCAGGTGGTTGGGCCGCACGAATTGATCCAACCCAACCCATTTTTTTCTGTTCATTTTCATTTTCAATTTCTCAATTTTTTTCAATTTTATTTTTCCTTTTTGTTTTTAATTTTTATTTTTTTTTCAATTTTAAATCTTATTTTTTTTCCTTAATTTAAAGTGTGTTTGGGACACATTCTTTTGAAAGAATGTATTATTGAATAGTAGATTGATGGAGAATGTGTGGTTAAAAATGAAAAAAAGGTTATTGATATAATGAAAAATATTATTTTATTGAAAATGTGTGGTTGAGAATGAGTAGAAGAATGAGAATGAAAAAAATAATGTGGCTCAAACAGGGGCTTACATTCTCTCTGTCATTGGTTTTGAAAAGATGAGATTTTAATATTTTCTTGTGTTTTTACATCCCTACATATTAATTTGAGAATGAGTAGAAGAATGAAAATGAAAAAAATAATGTGTACCAAACAGGGCCTAATTTCTGTTCATTAATTTTTTTTCTTTTTCATTTTTTGTCTTTTACTATTTTTTTAAATTTTAAATCTTATATTTTTTCCTTAATTTAATTTTTTCATATTCATTTTTTTCTTTTTTCCTTTTTATTTTTTTTCTATTTTAAATCTTATATTTTTTCCTTTATTTAATTTCTTTTCCATCAATTAATTTTCAATTTCATTTTTTCCTTTTTTCTTTCAACGTTAACTTTTATAATTTTTTTTCTTTTTTTTCTTAAACTATTTTTTTTTCATCAATTAATTTTCATTTTCATTTTTTCCTTGTTTTCGAATTTCTTTTTTTATCTTTTGTTTTTAAAAGGATAGTTGTACCAAATAGGGCTAGTTTGAGCATATACTAGAGTCGATGGCGACCATCGTTCCTATGATGGCAAGATCAGCAGACATTGAGGTATAGATTAGACTAGTTGTCGTGAGGAGACAATGACTGCAAGATAAACAAAATCTCAAGTTTTTTTTTGTTAAATTATGTTAAATTTATTGTACATTTGACTAACATATTGTTATTTACTTATAGGGGTGATTTGTAGAGTTTTCACTATCAAGTACATTGAATTTTTAAGCATCGAACGTGGTGTAGAGTTGATAAACCAAACATACTTCGATAATTGAAGGATGAAGCCAGAATCCTATTTGTATACATATAACTATGATAAGTGGTATCTTGTATTAATTTTTTTTTTTAAATGTAAGTATTGTTTATGTAATTGTGAATATATATAATTGTAATTGTAAGTATTGTTTAATTGTTACTTTCCTTTTTTTATGTAAT